AAACACAGTATTAAATATGTCGATCGATACTTTCAACACATGAACATGTTTTAAGAGATATCTCTCTACAATTGTTTTGTGTAATTGGGGCACTAGAGACAACAGATTACAGAGATATTCGATTGTTTTCAATTCCGGAATCATGAGAATGGCAGCCCACCGATTTCGCATGGTAGACATGCCTAGGTGGTGAAAAACATACAACTATAGAAAAAAGATGCATATAATTGCTAAGGACAAAACAAATAGTTGTACCCATGACGTTCAACTATCTGTAGGTATACGACAAATGTCATGTTTTTGTTTTATTAGACCTGCAGCTGTGCAGTCCTGCAAGTGTTATATGCACATTGCTGCTGCAAGACATTGCAATTGACAACAAAATTGAATATATTTCACGACAGCTTTACAATAGAAGGTGCCATGGGTTAAGTTTTATGAAAAAGCAAGAAGTATTTATTAACATATTTAACACAAAAGCAAACCCTTAAGAGACCATGAAAAAGTATACATTTGATATTTCGGCAGCCGCAGCATTTTTGACGGAAGTCAAGTCAATTGCAATTAAGGTGGCTCATTACATCCACAGTTTATTTTAGATTTCAATACATCACCACTTATAATGCAGATGTCAAATATCCAGATGGGGGTATTTATATCATAAATATTTTTTATAGAAATTTTTAGTTTTTGTCTAATCTTAATGAAATGATTTATTTCAAGTTTATTATTTACAGAATTTCAAAACTTTCAGTGTCAAATGATGGGCATCTTCCTACAGTGGCTGGAACGTTATTGTTGGCAAACCAATCGTGTAGAATCGTTCGTTTATCGTGCGTGATCGTTCGTGTAACGTGCAAGATCGTGCGTGTAACAAACTCAATCGTTTGCGGTTTTAATTGTGCGTGAACATGGTGAACGTGCGTTTAGAAACGTGTAAATTTCGTTTTGTAAGTTTTTATTGGAATGTTATCTGTGAAACAAGTATTTCGTTTATATTTTATTTTTTAATCCAAATAAAAGGAATTAAGCGCAGTTTACATAATTAGAATGCGGAACGAACTAACTATCGCTTGTAAACAAGCAATATAGTAAGTCGTACAATATTATGTCCTCGTCAAGTAGCGTGACTTATTGTGATAAACCGTACTAATATGTTTTACTATATTTTTTTGAAGATCATTCTTGTTTGCTGCTAATTATGGAAAGATATTTTTTTTTTCAAATAATCAAAAAGAAATGTTTTTAAAAATAAATAAATATTTTTCAAAACTGACATAAATGTTTAGTCGGCAAATGTACATGCACGGCAATGATTTTTGGGGTTTTGTTTAACCGTGTTTTTCTCTGTAGCTTACTTTTAATTAATTTTTAAAGTAAAACAATAATTTGCAATGTCGTGTTTTATGTTCATAAACATATTGAAGTAATGAAAACATATAGATATAACTTTTAAGTTAAGTCATTCCATGCTGCCATTTTTCTCCCAATCGTATCCCCAATTCTACATATTATGAAATTTAATTCAATCAAATTTTACGGTCCAACTACTACTATCTTCTGATAGAACAAAAAAATCCGTTTACGTTTGTCGGAGAATTATCTAAAAAATTATTTATTATCTAAAATAGCAAAAAAAATCTTACATGTATTTAGTACCATAAATACCCATATCCGTTTTTTTTTTTTCGAAGTCGATGATATAATAAATTTATTGATAATTATTTGAATCCAAAATCAATATAAAGCGGTATTTCGTTTTGGAGATATCGATTCCTAAATAATTTGAACTATTTTGCGTGAAGAATCGTGCGATTGCGTTAGCAATCGTGTAAGATCGTGTAACGTGTAGAATCCTGAACGTGAAGGATCGTTCGTGTATCAGGTTTAATCGTGCGTTAATCGTGCGGAATCGTGCATGTAACGTGATCGTTCGTGTACGTTGTCAACAATAACGTTCCAGCCACTGTAAGAAAAGAACACACAGTGGGTAAATAAAAGTTCTTTCTATTTGTAATTTTAATAAGTATTCCTTATCAACTGTGTCATACAATGATCATGATCTGAAAATAAAAGAAAACAATAATAATACTGTAGTACCAAACTACTGATAAACTATAATAAACTGTAGCATTATCCTATATCTCCCCCTAAGTCTTTTGGTAGGAGGTGTCCATTTAGTTTATAAATGAAGGAACTGAATGAAAAAGACTGATATTTAACACATGATAATATCAATGACTAATGATTTTTCAATTAGGGGCTGGAATTCACTGTTGAAAGTCTGCATTTATTGACTTCATAAACTGATTGTAAATTTCATGGTGTGTGAGTTTATTCGCAAACAAAGTCTTTTTGCCATTCTGGAGCATGCCTGACGCGGCTGGTACGTCGTGGCAGGGTAGGTGTGGGCTCAATCGTTGGTGGTGGAGCAACTATTGCTTCTGTACAAGGTTGTTCTCTGGCAACATCTGGTGGAGAGCTGGCATCTTGGGTGCTTGGCTCAGTGTATGTGAGCTGACGGCATGGTTTTTGCACCTTGATAGGAGTAGGTGTCTCAGATGGGGGTTCCGTGGCAGGCACGGGTGACTGTTCCGGCATTGTGACTGTTTTCATCGGTGTTGTTGATCCAGGCTTCACTGTTGTGTCCATGGTGAGAGCAGGAGATGTGACAGGCCTCAACAGGGAAGACAATGGTGGATGTGCACTAGAATCAGTTTCTATGGTAAGTCGCTTTGGTGGCAACTGAACTGGAATATATTTGCGAAGAAATTTCCTGTTCCGTAAGGTTACACGTCTGGAGCCATCAATGCGCACGACATACCGGTCAAACTGGCGAACCTCAATGACTACTCCCTCCTGTCTTATCCCACTTGCGAGGGAAAGGTCCAATTTGGTTCTGCATGCGAACATGGTCTCCATCTGAAAGAGGTGGTAGTCTGTGTGTATGTTCCGAGAGTCTTTCTGCATATTGCATATGCCTGTTCCGCAATGCCTCTTCACGGGCAAGAGATGTGCTTTGTCATGTTGGATGAGGCTTGTATTTTCCAGGTGGGATTGGGATGAAGTCTCTTATTGGTCAACCAAATATGCATATGGCTGGTGAGAGCTTCGTGTCTCTGTCTGGTGTATTTCTGTATTGTAGCATAGCACGCTTGAAAGCGTCTGTGTCAACGTCACCAGAAGAGCTAGTATTGTCCATTAGAAGGCGCTTGACTGTCTTGACTCCAATCTCTGCTCTGCAGTTACTGTGAGGGAAGGCTACTGAGGATAATCTATGATGCACACCCCAGTCTCTGAGGAACTGCCTTGTAGTCGTAGCTGTGAGCTCTGGTCCCCCGTCAGATGCAAGTTCGTCAGGTATCCGGTATGTGACAAAGATGCGTCTGAGACAAGTTTTCAGTCCTTGAGCTCCAACGGCTGACTGGTCTACGATTGGCCAGTTTGAGTAGCGGTCCACAACCACCAGGTAATGGTTACCTTTGTCAGTGTTATGGGTCAGAATTACCCGAAATGCCATTAACACAATTTAAACTTAACAATAATTTATTTACAGTAATATATAAATATATATCAAACATAAAGTACAAACTTAGCAAGAATCTAAAAATACATACATCAGAGTGTCCGTTGCTGCACACAATGTCCCAGTGAAAATATATCCCAATAATACCTTAATGATGCTTATACGACAATGTATATTTATGCATTGAATTGACAGGGTATTTATACAATATCATAAATCTAGAATATTTTAGAAATTATTAAATCATGATATTAATGGAACAATCTGGACATACACAAAATTCAAGAATGTTCTAGATAAAATGACCGAACATGTTGACCACTCTGGAACGTTCAAGAAACTTAATGTTACTAATTATATACATAATGAAACAATACACATCTCGCAACACCTCCCCCCTTAAAAAGTTTGAATGTCAATGAAAACTTATATTATCAAACATAGGTACATTAATACAAAATCTAGTATGTTTACGACACTCTTGACAAGGCATCTGCAATAACATTGTCTTTGCCTTTGATATGCTTAATTGTTATGTTGTATTCCTGTAACAACAAACTCCATCTAGTCAGTCTTTGATTCTTATTTGACAATTTATGCAAAAATGTCAGGGGGTTGTGATCAGTATATACAAGAATTGGATGCAAAGTATTATTCAGATAAACATCAAAATGCTGTAAGGCTAACAATAAAGCAAGGCATTCCTTTTCAATGGTGGAATACTTTTGTTGACATTTTGTAAGTTTCTTTGAAAAATAAGAAACAACTCTATCTACATTATCACTATGTTCTTGAAACAAAGCTGCCCCGATTCCAACATCACTAGCATCAACAGTAAGCTTAAATTGCTTAGAAAAATCTGGAGTTGTCAGAACTGGGTTGCTCATAAGGACAGATTTGATTTTATGAAAGGATTTTTCACAGTCTTTTGTCCATTCAAAGTTAACCCTCTTCTGCAAAAGATTTGTAAGTGGACTAACAACTGAGGAAAAATTTGGACAAAATTTTCTGTAAAACCCAGCCATGCCCAAAAACCTCATTAAATCTTTCTTGTTTGTAGGAATCGGGAACTTTGCAATAGCTTCCACTTTAGCTGTTATGGGTGTAACATAACCTTGACTTACTTTATGACCTAAATACTCTACATAAGCATGACAAAATTCACTCTTTTCAAGGTTCACAGTTAAATTTGCTTTAGCTAAAATGTCAAATAAAGCACGCATGATTCGGATATGTTCGTCCCATGTGTTGCTGTATATGATGACATCATCAATGTAGGCCTCGCATCCCTCAAGGTCTTGAAGAAGGGATTGAATCATCCTTTGGAATGTAGCAGGTGCGTTTTTCATGCCAAAAGGCATAACATTATACTGGTAAAGTCCATCTGGTGTAGCAAAAGCAGATATTTCTTTTGCTCTTTCTGTTAACGGTACTTGCCAGTAGCCTTTCAACAGGTCAAATTTACTGACAAATTTCGCATTTCCAATGTTGTCAATACAGTCATCGATTCTAGGTATTTGATATGAATCAGTTTTGGTAACAGAATTCACCTTTCTAAAGTCTGTACATAATCGGTAAGAACCGTCCTGTTTTGGTACAAGAATACACGGTGAGCTCCAATCACTTTTACTAGATTCAACAATGTCATTTTCCAACATGTACTGCACTTCCCTTCTTAGGTACTGCAATTTTATTGGATTCAGACGGTACGGATGTTGTTTGATAGGCAGAGCGTCGCAAACTATAACATCATGACAAGCTGCATCAGTTTTCTTTGGAACATCCGAGAAGATTTGAATATACTCATTCATCAAGTTTTTAACTTGTTCTTTTTGGTGAATGTTTAAATGCCCAAGTTTGGCATCAAAATCAGCCAAAATTTCTGAGTTTTTCAAACGAACACTCTGATTACAATCTTTCTCATTCATTTCTACACTCGTATCACTTTCAATACAATTTTGAACAGTCTTAGCATTGGCTAAAGTGGAAACTGGTTTTACAGAATTTCGGTCACACCTTTCAAAATACTCTTTTAACATGTTAATGTGAAAAACCCGTTTCTCTTTACGTCGACCTGGTGTCTTAACTACATAGTTTACATCACTGATCTTGCTTTCAATTTCATAAGGGCCATAAAATCTGGCCTGTAAAGGATGACCAGGAATAGGTAAAAATACAAGAACCTTATCACCTGGTTTAAACACCCTATTTCTGGCATCTTTGTCATACCACATTTTCATTTTCATCTGAGAACTCTTCAAATTTTCTTGTGCTAATTTATAAGCATTGTAAAGTTTTTCTTTGAAATCAGACACATAATCTAAAAGATTAAGATCACTAGTCTCAGTCAGCCACTTTTCCTTCAACAATTTCAAAGGACCTCTAACTGTATGTCCGAACACCAATTCAAAAGGACTGAACCCAAGAGACTCCTGGACAGCTTCTCGTGCAGCAAATAGCACAAATGAACCCCTTCGTCCCAGTCTTTTTCATACTGGTAACAATAGGTCTTCAGCATCGTTTTTAAGGTCTGATGAAAACGTTCTAGCGCTCCCTGGGACTCAGGATGATAAGCAGTTGATCTATATTGCCTTATACCCAACTCATGCATGACTTGCTGAAACAACCCCGACATAAAATTTGAGCCTTGATCCGACTGAATTGCCTTGGGTGCTCCTACAAAACTGAAAAACTTGGTTAGGGCCTTAACTATGCTCTTTGCCTTTATATTCCTTAGAGGTATGGCTTCAGTAAATCGAGTGGATGTACACATAATGGTATGTAAATACTGGTTTCCAGATCTGGTCCTAGGCAAAGGTCCTACACAATCCACCAACACTCGATTAAACGGTTCTTCAAAAGCTGGAATGGGTTGGAGAGGAGCAGATGGTATCTTCTGATTTGGTTTACCTACCATCTGACAGACATGGCATGACTTGCAAAACTTCGAAACATCCTTTCTAAGCTTAGGCCAATAAAAATGACTCAAAATCCTGTTATAAGTCTTATTGACACCTAAATGACCTGCCATAGGTGTATCGTGAGCTAAACTCATGACACCTCGACGATAAGCAGCTGGGACCACTATCTGGTGAACAACACGCCACACTTCATCTGGAGAAGTGTCAGGTGGTCGCCATTTTCGCATAAGGATGCCATCTTTCATATAGAAGCATTCTCCAACTTTAGTAGCCTCTTCTGGTGGAAGTGCCCTCTTACTAAGTTGAATGATATCTGGGTCTTTATGTTGTTCAGAGAGTAAACGTTCTCGGCTGAGGATGTCCTTGCCTTGGCTAACTAATGGTTGTAACTCATCATCCTCACCACCAAATTTCGGTAACAGTTCTTTCTTCTCTTGCTTCTTGATATTGTGTGGTTCCATGTTTGTTTTAGTGCCATCAAGGTCAGATAAGAAAGTGTCATTCAAATCAATATCAACAGAGGAATTCGAATTCGTCTCGTCAAAGGCTTGAGTATGGTCTGCCTCCATTTCTCGTCTTCTGGCCATCGCTCTAGTAACAGCACAGGCTGGATAAATGTCATCATCTTAATCATTATACATGACACCTGGAGTGATCTTCTCACAAACTATAGGATCTGGTCCAACTTTTCCACCAGCTAGATCGTTGCCTAACAACAAAGAAATGCCTGGAACGGGAAGAGTAGGTCGAAAACCTACGATAACAGGTCCAGTTACTAAATCTGACTTCAAACTAATTCTATGCAGGGGAACATCAATGACGCCTAGCTCCACACCCTGTAATAAAACTGACCCACCAGTAGAAGTCTGCTCAGACAAAGGAAGCACGCCCTCTAACAATAACGTCTGTGCAGCACCAATATCTCTCAAAATCTGGACAGCTTTTATTTCGCTAGAATCACCGAGTGAAACAAATATAATCCTCCATAGAATCAATAGAAACTGGACTGTGAACCCTGGACATCAGGAGTGTCAGAACAAATCGAAACTAAGGCTTCTCTATCACCTCTAACTGCCGCACAAGCATGTGGTTGAGTTTTATCAAAATCATTTTTTCTCTTAAGTTTAAAGCATTCACTGATCAGATGACCCTTTTTCTTACAATAACTCCAAGTAGGAAGCGACCCTATTCCAGACGATCCTTCAACACGTCCTGGACCGGACTTAAAACCACCTTGTGATGGAAACTGGAGACTTGTGGAAGACTGAGACCCGGAACCAATCTTTTTATATGTGTCTCAATTGGTAGAATTACTGCTAGTCTGAGATCTTGATACAAAATTCTTTTTATGAGACAGAGCATAAGTATCAGATATGACTGCTGCCTCTTCAAGAGTTTTCACATTCTTATCTTCTAAATGTGTTTTCAAATCTTGAGAAACACATTCCTTAAACTCTTCTACCAGGATGACTTGGCGCAAATTAGCAAAGGTTTTATCAATTTTCTTAGATCTAAACCAGTGATCAAATAAATCTTCTTTCTCTCGTGAAAATTAAACAAATGTTTGATTATCAAACTTCCTATACTTTCTGAACTTTTGTCTATACGCTTCAGGTACTAATTCATATGCTTTTAATATTGCTGCTTTGACCTTTTCATAGTCTGAACTCTCAACTACCCCTAGTGCAGAGTATACCTCAGCTGCTTTGCCAACCAGTACACTTTGTAACATTGTTGACCAAACATGTTGTGGCCATTTAAGATTCTTTGCGACTTTTTCGAATTGGGGAAAATATTTGTCTACAGATTTTTCTTGAAATTTTGGAACTAGTCTGATTTTTTTTGCTGCATCAAATTCATTCTTGACAAATGAGGGTTCTGGTTTCTGCTGTAATCTTAATTTCTCTAACTCAAAGTGCTCTTGTCTTTCTAATTTGTCTAATTCAAATTTCCGTTCACGCTCTCGTTCTTCTCTTTCTCTTTCTCGCTCTTCTCTTTCAAATCGCATTTTCTCTAACTCTAATTTAAACTGATATTCTGTCATTTTATAAGAGCCTAACTCTGATTTAACTGTATATTCTGGAAGATCGTATTTTTCAAAGATGTTTTCTTCTACTTGTTTGTTTGCAACCTTAATTCTAATGTCTTGCTTTCTCTGAGAGGATTTAACATCTTACCCAAAATGCAAACCTAATGCGATCAAGTCATCCTTTTTTAACGTGTCAAAAACCTGAACACTTGGTGAACTAAGAAAGTCTGTGACCGAAAACACCATGTTGATTTCTGCTGGCTTATAATTTAATTTAACAAAAAATTAATGAGCAAAATCATGACAAAAAACTGCTAAAAGTGCAAAAATTCTTTATCCCGGACGAGCCCCCAATTCTGTTATGGGTCAGAATTACTCGAAATGCCAGCAAAGATCAATAACACAATTTAAACTTAACAATAATTTATTTACAGTAATATATAAAAATATATCAAACATAAAGTACAAACTTAGCAAGAATCTAAAAATACATACATCAGAGTGTCCGTTGCTGCACACAATGTCCCAGTGAAAATATATCCCAATAATACCTTGATGATGCTTATACGACAATGTATATCTATGCATTGAATTGACAGGGTATTTATACAGTATCATAAACCTAGAATATTCTAGAAATTATTAAATCATGATATTACTGGAACAATCTGGACATACACAAAATTTAAGAATGTTCTAGATAAAATGACCGAACATGTTGACCACTCTGGAACGTTCAAGAAACTTAATGTTACTAATTATATACATAATGAAACAATACACATCTCACAACAGTAAGTAAAGTAATCAGTACAGATGCACTGGAAGGGATACTCTGGGCTCATTTGTGGAACTGGTGGAGCACTCGGGTTGGACGGTGCATTGCGGTTGCATTGTTGGCAGTTTGCACGAAGAGCATTTATGTCCGGCGTTATCCCTGGCCAAAATACAGATGTCTCAGCTCTAGCTATCTTGGATGTTACTCCTTGATGGCCTGAATGTAATGCATCTAGGACTTCCTTCCTTAGTGATTGCAGGATAACTATACGGTCCTTGTACAAAATAACCCCATCAGTGGTTGACAAGCCTTCACGGTACTGGAAATACTGTCGTAGAGATTCTGGTACTTCATGACGGTACCGTGGCATTCCACCTTCAATGATCTCACACAGTAGTAGCAAATCTTGGTCACTGGCTGTAGCTACACGAACTCTGTCCCATGTTACCGACTTCAGGCCAAGGGCGTTCAGGGATGCAACAGCAGATGATCTCATGATTTCATCTCTGGCACTGCAGATGTATTCAGTATTTGAATTTTCCAGATGAAGGTTCTCTAAAAGTCTGTGATTGGTTTCTTGCGCAACATCATAAGGCAAGATAAATTTCTCCGCATCCCTAATAGGATGGCGTGAAAGACAGTCTGTAGCACGATGTTTGACACCAGGGATATGGACCATACAGAATCTGTATCGGAGTGTTTTCTCCTTTAAGTTTCTCAGACGATTGTTTGAAATGTCTTCAAGAGATCGGTCACCGAAGATCTTGAGAAGTGGTTTATGGTCAACTGCAATGGTTAGGTCCTTGCATCCTAATATGAAATATCTGGCCTTGTCCAGGGAATCTGCAACTGCTAGTGCCTCACCCTCAATAGGTGCATAGCGAGACTCCAATGGATGAGTAAATCTGCTGCCGACAAGTGTGATCTTCCATTCGGATGGACAGAAAAAAGGTTCTGCCTTCTCACATGTACAGTGTTTCTGAAGGTGCCAGAACCCGATACCTGATTTGGACCTGCCAGTTGTCAAACATGTGGGTCTGTCAGGGTCAAAGATACGAACACCGTCTTCAATTTCTCTTACAATCTGTACTTTTGACTCCTCAAATAATGTCTGAAGGTGTTCATTCCACTGGAAAGCAGTTCCTGGCTTCAAGAGATCCCGAAATGGTAACATGCGCTTAGCCATACTGAAGGCGTATGAAACCTGATTCACAAGGCCAAACCATGAACGCACATCCGTGATGTCTTTTCGTGTGGGAAAGTCTTTGATAGCTTGCAGGTATCTCCGACAGGACAATTAGGAACTGATCGCACTTGGGGGATTGGGGACGGTGTGTGATGTGTCTCACGTGTGGCATGTGCATTGAGAGCCTGGAAGTCAACCGTTCGTCTGGGCTTTCCATTTTTCTTAGCGAATATGACCATCCGATGGCACCATGTGACGGGTTCTCCAATGTGGACTGGTTCTAGCACGCCCAACCGTACATCTTGATCAAGGCCTTCTTTTACTGCTCCTCGCCAGTGTATTGGAACAGGTACCGGTGTGTGGTAGACCACTGGTTCAGCATTTGGATCCACCATAAGCTTCATAGGTGGGCCATCCACTAGAGGCAGAGGCTGATGTTCACATGTGTTGAACGTGCTGGATCTATATAAATCAAAAAATACTCCTGTTATTTTGAGCGGTTTTCCTCTGTAGGTGAAAATGGCAAAACACTTGGTGGCGGAGGTGGAGATTGGCGTTTAGGACATCCACATGGTGCAGTGTTCTCTTCATGGACAGCTGCGGTACCGGTTTGTGAAGGCTGTACCTCTGGAAACCTATCGCTGATGATACCTAGCTGTACGCATGCCTCTCTGTTCAGGAACAGTTTGTCCGAGGAGTCTGTAACATATGTCATCTGCCTCGTTTCCACCACTCTACCACATGAGAACCGTAGTAATGAGGCTCCAAGTATCTTGATGCCATCATTGTTAGCTGTGTGCATGCGCATTGTCACAGGGATAAGGTCAGATTCAGAAAGTACTATGCAATGAATCACTCTAAGACCGGCAAGGCAGCTCTGACATCCGGTGTCAGCCATAGCGGGGATAATGGTGGGCGCTGACGGTGTTGACAGGTCAACTCCAAAGGCTGAGTAATCTTTTGGAAGAGCTCGCACAGTAATGTTCACAAATGGCTGAGGCTTTGAGTTTCTGCGAAACCATGTGTCTGTCATGCTGTCATAGATGTGATGATCTAGAGGAATACTTAGCCGTTGTCCCTTCATATGGATGGGTTGAACGGTGTTTAGGTTGTCATGCTGAGGTTGAGGGGAGTACAGTGTACACAACATGTTAAAAACAGCACTTTCTTTGTCATAGTAGTGTTGCCTAGACTGGGTTTGGCGTTTTGGATTGTCCTTGCTACGACAGACACTCTCGAAATGGTGATGTCGATGACAAAGTTCACACATGTGGCCATATGCAGGACACTGAGTCTTACGCAGTTGTGCCACACTTTTCTTGCCATGGCCACGTTTCCCACAATAAGAACACGGGTCTTGATTTTCTTTGCTCGGCACTTGCTTGGACCTTTTGTAGGAGCTGGCTGCCTCAACTAAATGAGAATGTAGAAGCCTTGAGGCTGATCTTTTCCCTGCTTCTTTCGCTTCAACGAATTGAAATACTTCCTCCAAAGTCATATTTTGATTCTTGTCGCCAATTAAGTCTAACTGAATGTCAGGGTCGACAACGCCTCGTGTGAGGACATCGCGCATAATGGCATCTGTGTAGTTGACTCTGGTGTTACAGTGCTGCTATCCCACAAGTTGACATGGGATGGGATCGGATAGGATTCAGGATTGAGGATTCACGATAGAAACATATAGAAGTTAATCCAATCCTATCCTATCCTATCCTATCCTGTATCCTACAGCCAATCAGATTCGAGCAAAGGTTCATTCATATTTCAGAATAAATTACAAAAACGAATTACGATATAAAATGTTTACAAAATAAATATTTATAAAGTTTCAATAGGAAATAAAATATTCTTTTCTCTAAACACATATTTACATTGTAAACTTCAAGGAACACGGCGTACGATCTAACCGTGAACGATCACCGGAAGACTTTGGGAATGTAAACAACTGTAGTGGTTTAGATTTTTATTTCATAGCCATCTTTTCGTAAATAATATTTTACAAGTATTTGCTGATATTTCAGTCTGATAATTCTATTTACCTTATGTTTTCAGTTGTTACTTACGTAAAACCCCTTTAGTATTAGTCTTTTATAAGTTAGGACATGAGTTGACATTCCACAGGTTTTACTTTTTAAACAGGAAGTGTCATCCATGTTGGCAGTCTTTCCGAAGTACTTTTGATAGCTGCGTTCTGATTGGTTAATTTAGCTTTAGGATCTTTGATGGTTATTGGCTTTTATTTTGGGCCTAGCTAGGGTATTTAAACCCGTGTTCGTGCAGTTTTCTTCACTTCGGTTGGGGAACACAACCTCATGGTTAGTTCCTCTTTTCTGTGCTAAGAAAACCTCATGGTTTATGAGCACTATTTGATTAGATACTTAGCGGGTTAAGAAAACTTCATGGTTTAACAGTTTTCTAGGTTTTGGCTTAGATTTAGTTTCACGTTTTTCACATGTTAGGAAACAGTTAGGATGTAGGGTATTTAAAGTAAATTTAGTTTCCCCTTTCCAAGTCCAGCCTGGTCTAGGGATATGTAGATAACAGGTCTATTTTCTAGAACCACTATTTATTATTTATTTTTGGGTGTTGTTTATTTTCTGGGTCAGTTATTTTTAGAGCCTAAATTAGTATTGATATTTTCAGTTCAACTCTAGAGTGTTGATAGTAGTCATATTGGGTGAAGTAGCTCATTCCCTTAAGATTTTTGTCATCTCATTGATTTTTTTACGATTTTTTTTACCATTTTCATAAGTATGGAAGCCCAGTAGGGACATAGAGTATCTTTCATAGTTTTGCCACATTCCTCCCATTTTTCCATTTCATTTTTTTTTCAATTATTTTTATTTATTGAGAGTATTCATTGAGATTATTGTGAATCATTTGCCAAATTAAATTACTTTTTTCATAAAGCTTTATTAATCCAGTGCAATTTTCAAAGACTTTTCCGTTTGTTAAATTTTGATCATTATTTATTATTTGTTATCATTTACAACGGTTAATTCTCACTTTATTAAATTGATAAAACTTACAACTGTGTTTTCATTTAGCGTTGACCATAGTTCAGAAATCCCCTTACCTGGGTTGATCATTGATAACTGGAGATAGTTTACTCCTTTAAGCCAAGTTGGCTAGTAACTTTGGTAATTTATACACTAAAGAGTTCTACTTCCGGTTACATAATTTTTGGTGCCGTGACCAGGATTTCTGAATATAAACCATGGCTTCGCTAGATTCAGATTCTGATAGTGTAGGAAGAGCTACATCAACCCCTAGAGTTGATAGGTTAAGTTCAAGTCAAGGTGCTAGATGTAAGCTTATGAGAAGAGTCAATCAGCCCTCTTTGTCCTCTCCTGTGAGTGAGATTGGGATGCATGAGAGTAAGCTAGATACTAGCCTTAGTGTACAGGTTTCAGATTTAGAACAACTGTTGCAGGACCTCACTACAGACTTTGAGAAATGTAAGCATGAGATTGGGGAAACTCTTCGACGCAAACGTCGTGTGTCATTTGCTGAAGGTAATGATAGGGACAGGCAAGCAAGTCAGAATAAAGTTGTAAGAGAGACAGTGACACCCTTAGATAGAGTGAGAGAAACAGAGTTTGAGTACTTCACCTGCACAAATAAACTTTGCACAGAGAGACAGAAGTGAGAATCTCAGTAGGTCACAGACAAATATGTCTACACTGCCCAGTACCCCTGTAAATCATGGTAGACCTAAACGTAAAGAAAAAGAACCAGACAAGTTTGATGGTAGAAATGTAGCATGGTAGGATTACTTAGTTCATTTCGAGCAAGTGTCTAATTGGAACAATTGGTCTCATGAAGAAAAGTCACAGCAGTTAGTTATGTCATTAAGGGGGGAGGCACAGAAAATTCTAGGTGACCTATCTCAAGAAAAAAGAAAAGATTATGACAACTTAACATCCATATTATCTAGTAGGTTTTGTCCGAAAGAACTTGTAGTTGCACATAGGGTAGATTTTAGATCGCGTCTTAGAAAACAGAATGAAAGCCCTTCAGATTAGGGTTTTGCACTTAGGAGGTTAGGAAACTTAGCTTTTCCAGATATGGCTGACTGTATTCTGATAGGGAGATAGTTGTTTTAGAGCAGTTTATGAGTGGAATTGGGAATTTTGAAATTTGATCTCATGTCATTTTACATCATCCTAAGACTTTAGAGAGTGCCATTTCATTAGCAACAGAATTTGAGGCAGTTAAGGGGCCACAACTCTCCATCATTAAGCCAAGTGTAAATAGTGTTAGGACAGATAATGAAACTACACCTGTAAAGACCCCTGATGAGTTGTCAAGTTTAGTTCAAACTTTAGAGAAATGCGTTAACAAAATGGCCAAAAGTTATCGGGGTGGTAAAACACAAACAGGGAAAGTCTTAGAGTGTTACAAATGCCATCAGTTAGGACACACAGCCAGATACTGTCATACACAAAACACTAGTGATAGGGTAGAGAAAGATAAGACACCCCTTTCTCACACACTACCAGTTAGGGATAAGGAAAACTTCCCAGGGTTGCATTCGAAGCCCACAGTGTGACCAAAAATTCTGTTGATAGTAGGGCTACTCAGAAGTTAAGAGTTAGTTTGCTTCAGAAGTCACGTTTAAGTGTTGGCTGTACTGTAGGAGAACATGTAAATAAGTTTTTAGTCGACACTGGTTCTCAGGCTTGTTTGATACACAAAGATGTTCTTATGACTTTTGAGAATAGACCCCCTTTGAAACCTTGTGTTTTGTCATTAACCGCAGCAGATGGTAGTGCTATGAAAGTTTTAGGGAAAGTTGACTTAGAGTTTAGGATAAGAGATAATTTGTTTTGTCATGAGTTTATTGTTACTGAGTTAGGAGACTTGTGTGGAATCCTTGGGATGGATTTCTTGGAGAACAATGATGTGACAATTCAAGTTTCTAGGTGTCTCTTGTTGATAGGTGGTCAGCATATTCAGTTAGAGAGGGAGACAACTCCTATTTGTGCTAGAGTAAAGGT